ATCACTGCTGTTCCCTAGTGTAAACCACCTCGGGCCCCTCCCATGGACCACACAGTAGCCTCCTGACCGGCGCCCTACTTTTACTCCTGTCCACACCAACCTAGTCACCCCTCAGTAATCAGAACGAACTTTCTAGAAGTCACTTGGCTCCTGGCAATCTCTGTTTGACGTCCATTAGTGAATTTCATCTCCCCTGAGCTAAGAATGAGACCCAAACTTGAAAGTAGCTCACAAACCCTTGCAGTATCTGGTCTCTGAGTTCATCTCACGTCACCCTACTCCCTTGCTATGTCGCTCTGCCTTCTCTCTGTTCTTCAGACCGCCCAAACTCATTTTTGCTTTGAAGACTGAGCACATGCTGCTTCCCTTAACGGGCTGTTCTTCCAGAAGCTTCTCCCTACCACCTATCTAAAGGACAATGCAATATGTTGTTATCAAACTGTTAAGATTATTTGATTACTGTCTATCGCGCGCACACACACACACACACACACACACACACATATCTAAATACGCAAGTATAAATTCTCAGAGTTTAGGTACCATCTTTTTCTTTCTTATCCACTGTATCCACAAGAATCTGGCTCATGGGAAGCGATGAGTATGTATTTACTGGATGAGTGAATAATGTAATGTTGGTAGTTCCTAATAAGGGGGCCTCGTCTGGATGTTCTGTCATTTGGGTGCCAGATGCTTGCACGGCGCTAGTATGTGTAGAATAACAGACTTGAAAATGTATCTCAAACTGCAGATATTTCTCTTTGGGCCTGTTTCTCACTTAGAGAAATGAGGAGAAAGACAGTCCCATCAGAAGCAGCTCCGACCCTGGGCTGTAACTAGCTGAGAAGTGAGTTTGTTATCATGCTCCAGGTCTTCCCTGGGAGATCATCCAGGCTGCTGTAAAGGGGACCAGTTGTCTTTAATTTGAAAGATACATAAACTTGACTTCTCCTGGAGAGTTCTAGGCTCTCATCAGATAAAAGACAACATCATAGCTAATTAGCATGCTCATGGAAAGTCAAAAGGCATATTTTGAACTCTTCTGCAAACAGAGCATAGCTTCAAAAAATTTAGAGTACCAAGATATTAAATATAGAATGCATCTTCAAATTAAGTCATTTCCATAATTGAACTTAGGAAGAAGCACAGAGTGAGGTTAAATCTTATCAGGGGAAAAAATCCAAACAGCTCCCACATTGTTGTGCATTAGCCCATTAGTGTGGGTTCGAATGTGTCGTTTAGTGACAGCTTTTAGTGGTGGCATCATTTTTCGGGCATATTCTCAGGATGCTGCTTTACTTTTCTTTTCCAAATTCGGAACAAAGTTTAGATGGCATTTAAAAGGGATGCAGAAATGCAATTTCAGAGACAGTTTTACAAACTCATTCCACATTCTGTCATTTTTGTGTTAAATTGGACCGAAGTGAGTCATTTATTGGGAGGTGAGAAAGGGTGTTCAAATTTGAAAAGTGGCCCGAGCCATTTCTGGCAGACTTCATTTGCATATATGGGTAATGGCAAAGCCGGGTCTTTGGTTAAACTTGAGATTTCCCTGTCCTCTGTGTCAGAGATGTGTTACAGTGGGACAGTCGTCAAACGGTCTTGGGAAGCTGTAATGTGACAGGCAGAATCCGAGCACATGCATCTTGTGGGCGTGTGGGTAAAAGCACAGGTGCGTTCTCTGCGGGGGGTTAGGGGGGAAGTCCAGCCCTTTATGTGATTCTGGCAGTGGGGCAACTCTGCCAGTAAGAAATTTTTCTCCAGTTCAGGAGGAGGGAGTGAGTGGCCGAGATTATAGTTAGGTTTGCAGGGACAAAAGAGTGACCCCGGGAAAGAGGAGTATGATGTTCTCTCAGATAACCCTGCAGTGCGGCTCCTTCTGGGTCCCGGGGAGGCTTTGGGGGGGCGTCGTCTCAACAAGGGGGAGCTTGAAGCTGTAGGGGTGGCAACTGGCTACCTGGAAATGAATTTAGTGTCAATGGGCCAATCCCCACAATCTGGCATTTGCTACTCATTTGAGGAACCTAGGTGGGCACTTGAATGGAGGGATACAATTCTCTAGGTGAACTCAGAGCTCCTTCACCTGTTGAATTATTTGCTTCTGTATTTAGACTACCTTTTCCTCCTTTCCTGAGAGGGGAACAGAACCAAAACATGACCAAAATGTATAAAAGAAGGACGCCTGGCTGTCTCAGTTGGTGGTGCGTGCAACTCTTGGTCTCGGGGTTGTGAGTTCAAGCCCCACGTTGGGCGGTAGAGACAACTTAAAAATAAAATCTTAAGAAAATATATATAAAAAAAGAGAAAGTAACAGTCTCCATTAATTCTCCTTATCAGGGTTTCTTTCAAAATAGAAATAGCTTTAAATTTTGTCTTGACTATAACAAGCATTAACAATGCATTATAAAAAGTAGACAATACAGGAAGGTATAAGGGGGGAGAAAGTTATCCCGAATCCCATTTTTTTCTTTCTATGCTAGTGTATTCACACCAAAAATGGGCCAGTGCTGCATGTGCTTCTTTATATTCAAGACCCTCATAAAGACCGCAGTGAAGAGAAACACAGATTTCCACCCGCATGGGAAAGAGAGTGGGGGGATGTATCTGTCGTGAACATTTCCTGGCTCTGAAAGTCTTCAGCCTGTCTCCAGGGGAAGCAAGGAGGCAGCTTGAGAGCTTCTTGGGGCAGAAATCAGACAACTGGCCCCAAGAGCCAAGTTTGCTGTCGGGGGTGGTGGTGGGGGGACGACTGCTGGATATTGGCGGAATCAAGGCTCTACTCCAAGTCTTTGATGTTCTGATCCAACCAGGTCCAACCTGAGCATTTCGTCCTCAAAAGCGAGCAGTGGTGACATGGGGGCTGGTGGTGGTTGTTCCCATCCAAACCTCAGTGTGTTTTCCCAGTACCACTGGAGCTGAGTGAATGAAGCCTCTTCTAGTTCTACCAAGACCTCTTTGCTAGTTTAGAATATGGGCCTCCAATTTCTCCTTCAGGCGCACCAAATACAATTGTATGTGGTCTCTCTTGCTTCCTTAACTGCCTGCCTAGTTTTCCTCAGCTTTGAAGCCTTACCAAAATCTATATTCAAATCTGTAATCTGTCATAGTCAGGGGTAAATGGAGTTTTTGTCCTCCTTGGGCTTTACTTCAGATACTTAATTTCAAAGCAAAGACCGGAACGGGAGGGAGTCGAGGGGTTGAGATTTAAACAAAGGGGACCTTGAAAATTTCCTTGGAGATGAGGAGTAAAAAGTGGAGGATACCTGGGGAGAGAGCAAGGAACGGTTTTGATAGGATTGATTGTAAGACCAAGGGGAAGATTTTGATGCTATACTTGAACTTGAAAGACCTGAAATGCTCCGGATCAAAGATCTTCTAAACCACTTAAAAAGCATATGCCATACAGGTTCTGTAAGAGAGGATGGAGATACCCCTTCTTGTCCCTTGACGATGCTCTTAAGCAGGTAAGTCTAGGGACGTAGCATCCAGTGAGGGAGAGGCAGGATTCCCGAGTTTTTACTTTGAATGGGAGAAACTAAACACCTGGGCTTACCACCCTCTTTTATTCAAGAAAATAAGGACTGAAGTTATTTCGTATCCTACCAGGTATTTTTCCTCCCTCTAGGTTTTGCTCTGCGTTCAATCAACATTCAAAGAAAGAGCATTTCATAAAATGAGAAGGGTCTTTTGCTGAGCAGGTTTTAAGGAACAGGAACCTGCTTATTCTCTTGAAGTTTAATGAAACTCTTTCCCTTTGAAAACTGCTTGGACTTCAGACAGGTTGCACATCTGGCAAGGCCACCTCCTGAGGTCAACCCATACATAAAGTTTGGTCTTGGTTTTTAAGCAACAGCAGTGTCAGGAGATCAAGAGGTGAAATGCGATGCCTGCAAAATTGATTAGCTAAGAATTATGGAAGCTCTTCACATGAAAATTACTTATGGGCTTATAAGTACCAGTGCATACAGAATGCTAGGCATGATTTTTTGAAAGGTCTTATCCCTTTTCCTTATAGTGTAGAAGAACTTCTGGCAAATCTTCAGGTAAAAACTGGGCATTTTATTATTGAAAGATGCAAAATGCGAAGTCCCCAGGAACATTTTTAGCCCTGATTGTATTTCTTCTGGATGTTATAGCCTTACAGATAAATCACCCCTGGTATTTTGTCTTAACATATTTTGTCAAAAACACGAGGATGTGGAAGTGATTGATACATATTTTATCTCTCCCCTGAACTTCAAACTCATGTATCCAGTTGCTAGGCCATCTCCAGATGGATGTCTAATAGCTCAAATTTATAAGTCCAGAAATGAACTCTTCCATCTTCAGAGACCCAAGTGATCATCCCCTCATCTCTGCTGTATCCATAAAAGGCTACTGCAGTCTTCCAAGAAGTTAAAACAGCATAACCGCCCCCCCCACCTCCATTTTGAAGCCATCCTTGATTCTTTTCTCTCACACCTTCCATTCAACCTATTAGCCAATCCCTTGGCTCAACCTTCAGGATATAACCGGGATCTGACCGCTTGTCTCCATCTCTGCCCCATTACCCTGGGCCAAGCCATCATCTTCTCTCACCCAAATAATTACAGCAGTCTCCCAAGGTCTCCCCACCTCTAGCCTTGCCCTACGACCTTTTAAAACAGCAAGGGTGACCACAAAATAAGGATACTAAATTGTTACATCTTGTAATACGCGCACCCAGTGTCTTAGCTGGGAACCTGTGATGAAAATTGGATTTGTTTTCCGCCACAGCCCAGAGAGCAATATGGTTTGTGATTATGTCTTTCCATCTGGCCCACCCCTCTCTCTGTCTGCCAATCACCTGGGGATTTATCTGCATGCAGCATTAGCTGGAGAAAGATGGAAGCCGAAATGTTGTTGATGTATTTATGTATGTGTGCATAGACATGCTGACCAAAAACAAGCCAATGGAAACACCCACTCAGAGAACCAGTAACAGTCTCCTCTTCTTGCTCCTCTCGCTCGCTTGCTTTCAGCAACCACTGGAAAGAAAAGACAGCCAGAACAGTTCTCAGCACAGCGTCTCCTGCCACCGGAGCCTGCACACGGCCTCCCCAGGCCACAGCACCCAGGTGCTCCCCGAGTTCCCGCCTGCAGAGGCCCCCACTCCAGATCAAATCGACAGCTCTGGGCAGAAGAAACCAGATCCTTTTAAAATCTGGGCCCAGTCCAGGAGCATGTATGAAAACCGACGTGAGTAGCACCCTGGCTCCTGTGTCTTCCCAAGACCCCTGCCCAAGGCTCCAGCTGTCTCTTGGGGCTTCTTGAAAATTGATTTTTCAGTGTATAAACAGGGTAGAGGTAAATCCCAGTGAGAGGCGAAAGCTTCTCAGAACAGTGACAGAATCTGCTGGATGTTCATGGAGGTCCGTTATGTGTTCTGTTTGGGGTGGACAAGATGTGGGTGGTGGTCAGATAAAGGGCCTGGATAAAAATGGATTTATTTTTCCCTTCCATTAAAAGAAGGGGTAGATAAGAGCTGCTATCTCATTAACTCTTCCCTGTGTAGAGACTATGGCATGTTCTTGTGAAACAGCTCTGATGTACAAGAGAACACAAATATGATTGGTTTGGATTGCAGGAGTCATGAGAATGAGATTAAATGCTTTCTTAGTGGTCTCCTAGTTTTTAAGAATACTGGTAATTTTTTTTTTTTATATCATTATCAGTCTTTGTAAACATTCCCCTTAGAAAGGAAAAAAGAAAGCAGCAAGTGGTTTGCACTTTAATTATTTATACTGTGGTTAAGTGTGTTCCTTTGGCTTCACCTTTTCGATAAATATGAACTAGGGATAGCATACGTTGTAACTTTTTGGCCCTGATAAACCTAACATTGCCTTCTTGTTTCATTTCTTACTTTTTATTATGAAATGATTCCAAGGACCATTCCCAGTAAATTAATCATCATTTATCCTACCATTGTCAATGAAAAGCTCCCAAGGTGCTTTAATCTTAGGGGATGCAGACTAACCCATTTCGGTGGTTACTTTACTGACGGTTTCTCGTGGGCGTGGTTGGCCAGGATGAAGCAGCTCTGGAGGAAGGACGTGCACTTGTTCATGTTCTCTTTGGGGCGGGGAATTGGAGAGAATGTTTAATGAGGTCTGGCGAAGGGTCTGAGTAAAAGTGGAAGAGAAGAGAATCACTCTGTCCATCCTCTTTGTTACCCCCCTCCCATTTCCCAGTCCTGGCACAAGTTTTCTTTATAGCCATAGCTGTGGTGGTTTCTCAGGCAAAGCCCCCGTGGCCCCAGCCTCTTGCCCACCCACTCAGACTTGGCTCTGAAGCCTTTCCTTTGCTGGCTGGAGCAGTTCCTCTGTGACTCAAACAAAACAGGGGAGCGAGGCCAGCATCCTCATCTGAGAAGGAAAGTTGGCCACATTGCGGGGTGAAATTGAACAGTTAGGGGGCACAAGGCAAGTGTGGAGTCACGATGATTACCAAATTTTGGAAGTCACTCAGGAATCCCTCCATCCTTTTCCTCCTCAAGGGAGAAATATCATTGCCTTCTTAGTGTAACAGTGTGGGGAATTAAATGAGCTGTTTTGGCTAAGGGTTCACTATGCTGACAAAAGCCAGATAATTTGAGTAGGAATTTATTTAGTCCTCAGTCTAGAAAGACCCCCCAGAGTCTCCCTGAGGCCAGTCCAGAGGAAATGAAGTTCCATGTGAAACATCCCTCGTAAGCGTGGTTGCGAAGTCTGAACCTGCAGTCTGTTCTCCCCATGTCTTCTCACTAATTGTAGTGATTTCATTGAACGAATGTTTCCCAAAGAGGAATATTTTCACATTCTTTTTGCATTTCTCTCTAACCATGGGGCTCCTCCAATCAATGGCCCAACTTCAGTTGATGTTGAGATATTGCTTTATTGACCAGGCTTTGGCTTTTCTCAATACAGGACACGTTTATGACTTTCTCATGTGTGAATTCTGGGATAAAATAAATCGTGTTCTGAAATCCTGGTCGGCATCAAGGATTGACAGACCACCCTAACACATCCATTTAATAGGAGACTTCGGCTCAAATGCCATTTTCACCTTGATGGAAGCAGAATTCCTTAAGAAATTTAGTATTTAACAAAAATTTGGTGTTTAATCAAATTTTCCAAAAAGATTTTTGTTTTTTGTTTTTTGTTTTTTTTTAACCCAGAAGTAAATAGTAAAATATATACTCTTACCCTACAGCCAGCTGCTTATTTAAGCATTGAAATTATTCAGGTGGCTGTCAGATGGAAATATTTGGAATGGGGCCAGTTTTGTCTTCACTTTCTGTAACATCTATGGAATAGGATCCAGCAACCCAAATGAGAATCAATTTCTTTTTGGTGATTGGAGGTTCCATAATTGAGGGATCGTAGCAACCTAATTGATGTTAAGATTCACATGGATTTCTCCCTCACCACTCAATGAGGGTAATGGTGAGACTTCTCCCCCCAATGGTAGTTGTTTGGTCTGTGTCACAGATTTTCTAATTTTCACAATACCTGCAAATGAATGTACCTCAGTCTTGTCTTTTTATTTGTATTTTGTTTTATCCCAGATCTTTTTCTCCTATTCCCTTAGATTGTTTTATATCTTGTCCTTTGGGGTGGGGGGGAGGGGTTGTGGAATAGAATATGTAGCCTTGTTAGATGGGATTCCCTGCCCCTCCCCCAAGACATACTCAACATCCTACTCCAGGAAAAAAACAGGGAAGTGGAAGTCAGGAATAACACTTCAGTTGGACCCAAGTTATCCTCTTTTTGAAAATATATTTGTTTTCTATTTCATTTTATTGTGAAGGGCAGTGTGAAGATTAACATCATCCCTGATCAGATTCCTTCACGTGGTCTTAATGCTGTGCAAAAACACCGTATTCTTGAAGGGCCATCTGTCACAACACCAGTGTCAAAATGAATCCGTCTGAATTGCAGATGTGTTAATAAATCCCTTTGAAGGGCTTAAATGTTTAATTAAAAACAAAGGCAAGCATGGAAGTCCTTTAAAGCCATGTTGCCTGCTTTTCCTTTTCTTTAGGAACACATCAATTGCTCACATGTCTTGAAAAATGACACTGATGCAATCTTATTAGTACATGTTCAGGAAGACCAGCTAGCATACACCAGTGTGTACTACAACAGAAAGTCTAAAGCTTGCCATTGAAACAGCACCTGTTCACAAAATAGTTTAGAAAGAAAAAAGTCAAAAGCTATTGTACCAACATTGTAGACCTGTCCTATTCAGGAGAAACATGCTCACACATTTGGAATTGGTCAATGAGATCCTTTATTGTAGTGAGTTTAAGGACATTAGTCGTACTTCTAGATTTTAAGAGCTGTTATGACAGTTCTTATTTGTGTTTTGTTCACTTCTTGGCCAGATCTGATGATTTGTGTCTCCAAATAAAAGATGACTCTGGGGGCGCCTGGGTGGCTCAGTCGGTTAAGCGTCTGACTCTTGATTTCAGACTGGGTCATGAGATCGATTGAGCCCTTCGCTGGGTTCTGCGCTTGGAGTGTGCAGCCTGCCTGAGATTCTCTCTCTTCCTCTCCCTCTGCCCCTTCCCCCCACCTTAAAAAAAAAAAAAAATTTTTTTTAAAAAAGACTACTTTGGTTGAATTGCCAAGAATTCATCTGAACAGGTATTAGTGCAAAAATGAATTCCATTCAGAATCTTTAAATAAATGCTTTGGTGTGGCAGTAACAGAAGTATACTTAAATTTTTTTTTTCCAAAAGGAAATCAGGGCTTAGACAAACCTGAAGTTAATAACTTGATTAAAACAAGGTCAGACGAAAATGCATACTTGAGGGTATAACTAAATAGGAAGAGTCTGAGATGGTAACGGTAGTTGTATGAAATTCTCAGTGGAACAACTCTAAATACCAGCTTTTGACAAGAAAAGCGCTATGAAAAAAGATGGGGGGGAGCCAGAATCAAACTATAGTCTTTTAAAATCCACAGCAGCCATGACCTTTACTGTGAAAGCTTAAGTGCACGTTCCTTATCAATCAAACCTAAATTAAAATGAACTAAGAGAAAGCACATACATTAAGCTTTGCAAAACTGTGAAATTAATATTGCAGCTATGTCACCTTCGCCTGCATCGGGATTGAGCAAGGGGGAAAGAGAAAGAGAGATCAATTCCACGAGTTTTGGAGAATGTCAGAGTAAGGATCCGCTGAAAACTTTTATTTCTCCATTATTATTCATACTGTCTGATGTTGCCATGGGTGGGCGTGGGGTTGCTGGGGAAAAACTCAGAAACGGGAGGGAAGAAAGAGAACTGCTCTGAACAGAAGTGTTATGGCACTCTTGTTGACCACGCACGGACCAAAGACAGGATGAAATAAAACGTGATGGGCACATTTTATCTAAGTCTGGAACTTTGTGTCTGTAGTAGTGGAGACACCAGGAGGTTTCTCTGCAAACCTGGTGATTCCATTCTTTGTAATCATCAAAGGAAGTCTTTTGACTGCTTTATTGAGTTTTCCCTGGCATTACTAAAGGAGGTAACTGCAGACATTGTCCCTTCTGCAGGGGCTTACAAAGGAAGAAAACTGGACAAAGTTTTCTTAGTTCTTTTTGATTCAGTCTCACTCAAAAAAGAAAAGAAAAGAAAAGAAAAGGGTGATATTAATATCAGAAAGATAATTCTTCCCTGCTGCCTCCTGAAAACTCCATTCTTATAAAATCTGCCCAAAATAAAGAAAAGATTAAAACATTTGTTGGGGGAAGGGGTGGTCTGGAATCTTCAGTGCCCCTGAGAAGACGTAGCAGCAGAGAACACAAAAGAGAGAAATCCTGTAATTCTGTAACACGGTTCCCCGCTGCTTTATTCACCTAGGTTATAGATTTGGGTACATGGAAATGGAATTTGTTTGGTGGAAGAATATAATGATAAAATGCCAAAGTCCAGGTGCCAAAAGACTTTCTTTGTAACATGTCTGCGTTGGTGTATTGTGTTTGTGTCTGTGTTTTCTTAGCTCATCATTGGTATCTTCAACATCTTTGGTGTCCTTGGACATCTTCCTTTTCAACAGGAAGCTCTTCAAATAAATTTGCCATTTCCCCCATTGATTCCCAGATGCAAGCGCTATTTTCCGATGGACTAAACTGTATGATAAGCCTACATCTTTTGGCCACAACCACCCATACATAATCATGACATCTGACACCTAAACGAGCAAATGAAGGCAGAAACTCGCTACCTTTGGTGTCCCTGTAGCATGAGCAAGTGTTCTTGTGTTAAATGATGCTGAGAAAAATGGATAGAGGCTGGAAGTCTCTGCAGAGATCCTTCCCTTGTTTGCAAAGGGCTCAGCAGACTTAAGGCAGACTCTGCCAGGAACCTAGTGCTGGCCGGAAAGCACCCGTGTTCTATTTTGGAAATAATCCTCCTGCCTGAGTGAACCCAATACAGAGTCCCAACCTGATTTAATTTGTTGTTTCAGTGAGGCTATTAGAGCAAATATCCTGTAGCCAGCTACTCGAACAGAAAGAAAATATCATTACCTTAGCGTGCTCAAGAAAATATCTTTCTCCGATTGTGTTGAGGGGAGTCCTATGACATAGCTAACTGCACGTTCCGTGGGGTCTTACAACTTAGCCTCCGCAATTACAATAAAAAAGCAATGGGCATAAAGCACCCTGTAAAGCCTGGCGCATTAAGATAGCTCAGGCAAAAATACTGGATTCAACTTCTCTAACTTGTACTTACCTGTTCATTTAGTTTCTTCTCTCTCTGTGTATTCATATACCGTACATTTGAAGGCAGTGGGTGAGTCACTCTTGCCAACTTGAAATCCCAACAACTGCCTTCTTCCCTACCTCACTGCACAAAATTGAAGAAGATGAGAACTAAACTTTCAGGCCTACACACTCCTTCAATCCCGAACCCAATTAATTAAGTAAACCAGAAAGTAGGTAGAACAGTATTTGAAATTCTCCTTTAGGGTTCACTGCCACAGAACCAATTTTTTCTTTAAGTAAAAGATGTATCATTTTAAAGACCATAAAACACACTCTTGTATACATTAAAATATGAAAGAAGAATTAACGAGAAATAACTTTTGTATTACCTTAGTGAAGTGACAGAGTCGTGGTACATAGAACAGATTCAGGTAAATTTCAGGTAAAGTGAGCATCGTCTTACAGAAATGATTTTTCTTCTAATAAATGAGGTTTTTATTTTATAGCTCAGGCCCTTACTGAGTTTTCAGAGTAAAATACCAAGCTATTGGATATTAAGTGAAACTTACAATTTTAAAATATCATAGGCAAATTCTGGAGCAAAGCACTCATTCCAGCGATAAAATGAGAAAATAAGGAAATTTGAGATTGAACATTTTTGTAGTCACCATTCGTGTTGAGAATATGGAAGGCTGGCTCCTTTTTGGTAATACGACTGAAATCATAATAAACATTGAAAACTGGAAGTATTAGGATGCCCAAGAGTAACTTTTGGCAAAAATGATCTAACAAAATCAAATTATTGGGTTGCCGATCTCGATTATTCTAAAGCAAGAAAAAGTGACGTCTTTCAAAAGCTGAAAACTCTTTTTCGCTCAGGTTGTTTTCTTTCACCCGCTACTTGGTATAACATCAGATGACTTATCAGGGCTTCTGAGTCCCCAGAGCGAGCTTCTGTTTCCGTGGTCACTGTGACTCAGCGTGAGCTCCCTCCTCAGATGTGAGCACCCACTTTGTGGATCAGCACAGGGTGATTTTTAATTTACTTAAATTCTCTGGCAACAATACCAAGGACAGTGGACAACACTGACTTCTGGCTTAGTCCGGGATAATGGCTTGGGCTTGATTAGGAATTATCAAACTGTGATTAGTCCTTTGAAAAAACGTAGGGCTCGGTGACCGCTCCCACTGTTTGTTTCCGCCTAGTGTCCTCTTGTAATTTTATCCACCCAGATTTTTTCGCTTCCTTCTCTGTTGGAAAGCTGTCATCTGCTCAAGCATCATCAGGATTATTCCTATAACTGTGTTCACCTTAAGGGTATGCTTCCTTCGATCAGAGAAATCACCTCCCTCTTCCTTCTTTCTTCTCTGCAGTTCCGGACTACCAAGAACAGGACATCTTCCTGTGGAGAAAAGAGACTGGATTTGGATTTAGGATTCTGGGTGGAAATGAACCAGGGGAACCTGTGAGTCTCTTGTGTACCTCTGTTTTCTAAGATAGCGACGCAAATTGGCAGCAGTGGCAAATGACTAAGATTTGAGTCCAGCTAGGTGCAACACGGACTGTGGTTGCATTTCAAGAAGTGTGGGTGAGCTGTCGGGTTTTGTGGAGCTCCTTTTGTCTTGAGGAAGAAGAGACTAGTTCCCTTCTTTAAAGTTTGTACTCGTGGCAATATTAAAAGTGGAAGCTCCAGCACTTGGAGCTCCCCACCCAAGAAAATGAAAACAAAAAGCAAAATAATAGGCATCAACTAATAAAACAACTCCATTGTTTTATGGAGTTGGAAGCCCGAGCCTTCCAGCCAGATCTGTTAAATTGGCCAGCAGGGAGTGGGCTTTGAGTATTGAGGAGCTAATGCATAGAGAGTGCTTGAGGAGACCTGAAAGATCAGAGGCCGTAGGACCACTGTCTTCACAAAGGTGGACAAAGAACCCTGAACAAGAATCAGCAGACATCCTACCTCCCTGGCCCTCCGTTCCCTCACCTTGAGAATAAATCTGTGTCACAATCCAGGAATGTTGTAAAAGGAGAAGAGAAAACTAAAGATAAACACTGTTAATTTCCTTATCATAAAAACAGCTGTTATTTTTTTGAGCACTTACTATGTGCCAGACCCCACGCTAATGGCTTTTAACATGCATTTTCTCATTTCTCCACCAAGTCCCAGAATGTAGCCCCAGGTTCCAAATTATCAAATAAAGACACAGAAGAGTTAATTAATGTACTCAAGATCATAACCTTAGTAAAGGGGAGGGACAGGAAAGGGTCTGACTTCAGGGTCTACATTCTTAACCACTCCTTTGTCAAAGTTCTTTGTAAACTGTAAGTACCATCTAAAGGTAGTTACAGCATTATTATCTAGTGAGGAGGCAAGGAAAACACAAATATTTTCACTAAGGTTTAATGAAGGGTGAGTGTAATAAGACACTAACTATAAAGACAGCTCTGCATGCCACTGCTGAAAGTACAGAAATGGGATGTCAAACCAGACTTTGCATGATTCATTGCCTCATTGAGCAGTATTTACGGTACATTCCCTATCGCTAGGCATAGAGCTGGACCTGTAAAGAAAAGTAGTATTACTATTACAATTTCCAGAGTTTTCTGGAAGGAGGGTTCTAAGGCAAACAGAGAAGGAGAAGAGATTTTTGCAAATGCAGGAATAAAGCAATGTATTTCTGCAAAAGGGAAAAAGACTGAGTCCTCCCCAGACCCCAGATAAAGGTCAAGGAATCAACCAAGAAAACAGTGTTACTTTCGGGACGCCTGGCTGACTCAGTCAGTGGAGCAGGCAAGTCTTTATCTCGGGGTCGTGGGTTAGAGCCCCATATGGGGTGTAGAGATGACTAAAAAGAATAATAATAAACTTAAAAAAAAAAAAGAAATAGTTGCTTTTCCACCATTTAAGAATTACTGTAGCACCTATCACCATGACCTGGTACCCAGTGGGTGCTTAATAAATTTAGGGCACAGAGGCAGACATGAACGAATGAGTTGACTTGTTCTCAGAAATGTGAAGGCCATCAGTATAATAGTAAACCAAAAGGTCAACGTTTCATCCATCATCCAATTACTCCACAGATTTATATCGGTCACATCGTACCGCTGGGTGCTGCCGATACAGACGGCCGTCTGAGGTCTGGAGATGAATTAATCTGTGTGGATGGGACACCGGTAATTGGAAAATCACACCAGCTTGTGGTCCAGCTTATGCAACAAGCTGCCAAGCAAGGCCACGTCAACCTCACGGTGCGGCGTAAAGTGGTGTTTGCAGGTACGTTTTCGTTTATCCCGTTAGACAGCGCTTGGTCGCTGGGTGCACAGAAGAGGCCCCCTTCCTGCGTCTGCCTCCTCCAGCATCTATTTTAGCAAATCTTTGCAAATGTGATTAAGCTCAGACTTTCCAGATGGTTTGCTTCTCTCAAATCCGGCAAAACTACTGTCATTCAGAAGTACTTTAAAGTGCCATTCATGCACATTCAGCAAAACCTTCTAGAAGAGGACTAGTTGAATATATCCTCCCTGTCCTCATCTCCCCGCCAACCAGAACGTAGTCACCTCTCCATTTGATGTTAATTCTCAGCCAAAAAGATCATTATAAAAGGCAGGAATGCTATAGCTTCAAGGTACAAGAACAAAAATTAGTTTTGTGCCACCAAGTAAGTTTAAAAAAAGTTAGTGATGCCTTACTCTGCTGTTGCTGTCATGGGTGAGAAGCCAGTATTTGTTTCCTCTGTAAGAAAGCTGTAGAGATGGCTGGTTCTTGGCCATCTTTGACCCTTTCCCCCGGCCCGCAAGCATTAAAGTACTTGGGTTCTCAAAACATACACACCCTTTCCAGCTCAACTCAAATAAAACCTTCCCTGTGAAGTTCGCTCCTCCTTCCAAGTGCCTTCCAGTTTTGGCATTCCTTCCTTGCCATTTTTGTGAATCATGGTTTCCTTTTGTATCAGAATCTGCCATTTTGAGACAACTCATTGTGTAACCGTCTCCCTCCCATTCACTCACCGACGTCTTGAAAGCACATGCCACATGGGATGTTCACTGTCGGCAGCCCCCAGCTCAAAATAGTCAAGACAGAATGCAGAAAAAGCAGACTGTTGTATCACTTGAATTACTGAAGAAATATGACATGAAATATTGTCATTTCTTCAGAGCTTTAATATTTGTGAAACAGATGTTTACAAACGAAATGAACTGGCCCTTTGTTGAAAAAAAAATTGTCTCACTCACTTACGTGGCATATAATTAATTATAGAATTAAGATATCAGATTCCAGGGTGAGAGTCCTACCTTACTGAAACCGTGGAAAACGGTGTTGTTAATAAGTCATGGATTATGCCCAGAGAGCTCACTGATGGCCTCAGAATATTTCTTAAAATGGTATTCCACGCAGTCAGTAGCAGTCAGTTAGAAATGGCTTTTGAGATAGGATGAAAACGTTCAATTTCACTGATCCAAATAAAAATAATAGAGCTGTGTGATTTTTGTTTGTTTCAGATTTGTTTCTTAAATGTTAAATATTTGGGGGTTTTAGTGCTAAGTCAAAGGCATGTTAAATCTGTAAGAGACATTAGACTGAATTCAATAAGCCGGTCACAAAAGGGCAAACCTGGTGTGAGCCCCTTATATGATAGACCAAGAGAAGTCAGATTCATAGAGACAGAAAGCCAAATGGTGGTTGCCAGGGGTTGGTGGAGGGAGGGATGGTTTGTTAGTGTTGGATGGGTACAGAGCATCCTTTTTGGAAGATGAGGTTCTGGAGATGGATGGTGGGGATGGTTGCAAGTTGCTGTGACTGGACTTAATGCCACTGAACTATAAACTTAAAAATGGTTAAGGTGTTAAATTTGATGTTGTGTATGTTTTACCACAATAAAAAGAAATAGATGAAGGGAGAAGCTTCGAGAATAAATGTCTTAACACAAGACCCACATTTTGTGTGTGGCATCAGATCTGGGTCACTCCTGCTTATTATTATGGCTATTTTGGTGTGCTTTATCCTGTCACCTGATGGAACAATAAAATGGGGACTCTGAGGAAGGCTGACGTACCCAGGAGTGTGATCAGAGTAGACAATGACATCTGGAAAGTAGGAAGAGAACCTAAGTGTACCTCTGACGGGTGTTGTCAAGAATCCCACCGTAGGGTAACTTTAATGGTCCAGTCAACCTGCCCAGTCCGGTGTGATGGAAAAATGGAAAGCAGCACTGTTTGGCAGGCTGAGCAGCCATGTGACTCTTGAGGGCAATGACAGGTGAACGTGCACTGAGGTCTGTGCTGTAAAAGTGGGGGTCCTTACAGGTGCGGACCACACCCACGCTTCTGCTCCCCTTCCTCTGATTCTTGCCCTGGGAAGCAGTTCAGAGGGGCTAGTGGCAGCCACGTGGAACCTGAGAGCGGAAGCTGACATTCAGTATGCTGTGGTCCCCTGGGCTGCCTTCCCGTGGGCTCCTGGCGGCAGCTGCTGGACACGGGCTACTTAAGGGAGAAGGGGTGGGGCCTCCTTGCAATGCTGTGGCGCGCAGGCAGCAGGCAGGCGGAGCAGGAAGGGGGGGTGGCTGAGTCCGGCCCCCCACCCTCTCTCTCTCCTGCAGCCCCCAAAGCCGAGAACGAGGTGCCCTCGCCGGCCTCCTCCCATCACAGCAGCAACCAGCCCGCGTCGCTGACGGAGGAGAAGCGCACCCCGCAGGGCAGCCAGAACTCCCTGAACACGGTGAGCTCCGGCAGCGGGAGCACCAGCGGCATCGGCAGCGGCGGCGGCGGGGGCAGCGGCGTGGTCAGCACGGCCGTGCAGCCCTACGACGTGGAGATCCGGCGCGGCGAGAACGAGGGCTTCGGCTTCGTCATCGTGTCCTCGGTGAGCAGGCCCGAGGCCGGCACGACTTTCGGTGAGTGTCCCGTCCACTCCCCCGGAAGCTTCCCGGGCTGCCCGCGGGGAGCACAAGGGCGTTGTGCTGCAAAGGAAGGAGGGCCAAAATCTCATTAACAGAAATGCCTTCATGCTTTTCGCTGCAGGTAATTAAAGTCTTAATTGGGGATGGAGAGTCTGTTCCATAGCTTTTCCCCTCCTAAAGGTTGGATTTCTTTCCTTTTAACCTTTCGACTTCCATGCAGAATGCGTGTTCACACGCACACAACTTCAAGCATAAATGAAATTTGCTTGAAATTTGAAGAGCGACCCCTTGACAGTGTAGAGTGAGAAATCATGGGCAAAGAATGCCTTTGTGAGGTTCTGAGTAGGATAGCTCACCAGGCAGAAGTTTTCTGAATAAGCATATGGCTATAAAAATGCCTAGGGAATAGTACCAATAGAGAGTCAACATCAGCACATGAAGTGCCGGGTCCACCTTACTGTGTCCTTTCGATACTCTGTCCACATCTGACATTTTTAAATGTTAAAAAATAATACTTTTACCATTATCTGCTTAAGAATCTAGTTAAGATCTGAGTTAAGAGCCATTTGTCTTCACTGCCCTTGAATCCCAGCAGGCTGATTTTTCAAATCTTATCCAGATGTTGGGGGTTTTAGCAGAATATGGAGAAATGCAGTTGTCACCCTCTCAGAAGGTTAACTAGCAAAGGCAAACAGGACCCACATGAGTCCAAGAAACTAGAAATCTGTGAATCTATTAACAGATTATAAAAATGTACTCTAAAAATGATCCATCTTCCTCATTAGATAAAAAGTCACCTGTTAATCCCCCAAGCACATTTGTTCATTAATGCCGAATAGGGTGGGAGATGGGGAAGGGCTATGCAGGCTTTGAAATTTACTCTGCTGTTTCCCAAATGACTTGTCCACAAGAGTCTGATAACCAGTGGCCCAGGTCACTGGTGACTAAGATCAGGCAAGGTGCTCCTTCCCTTCAGCTTTCCGATCCGGTAGAACTCCCTTTACCGTCATGTAGTCTTTGTATGTTGCTTCCTGCTAAAGCCATTTCCCCTGAGGTCTGTTCACTAGGAGACTGAGTCAGTCCAGTCTATGCATGTGTAGCTACAGTAACAAAAACCATTACTAACAGTGCTTTTGGGAGCTCCATTAACAGAGTTATCACGGCATGTCATGAATGGATGATTGGACACCAAGGCAAGGTTTTGGGGGTTTTGTTCGTAAATTAATTTGGGGGACTTTTCTGCTTAATTTAAAAATCTAAAGAAAGGCAAGGGGGGAAGAATTCCCATTGCTATCTTCAGAGCTACGATTTGATTGTCCCCGTGCACCCCCTATGTCCTCAGGATTTCTGAATGGTCGGCTTCAATTTTACAATGAGATAGATATGTCAGGTGGGAGGCTCTGTTATTTAATGAATATAAGTGTCTTCTCACAATCTGGTCTGTGATCGTTTTCCTCTGGCTCTTCTTAAACAAATTCCACTTTCCCTAATACCTTGCATGAGACTTCTGTTTCAGACTACGCAGAGCTTTCCTCACACCTGCTGTTTGATACCGTTCTCACGGGGGTTGTCCATGGAGAGGGGTTCCACTTAATCTGGACCTTGGATTTGAGTATGGAAGCCTACCAGACCTGCCTTTTGGATTCCAAAAGACCATTAGCTTCCTTTTTAAAGATTCTGTGGCCTTGACCTTACATGCAATGATACACACTCAGGCAAAGATGCTGAAAAACCAAAGAAATTATAATCCCCTCTCCCCCCATTTTATCCTCAAGGTCCAAATTATGACAGAAGTGCCTGCTTGGTTAGTTTCAGTGTCTCCCACATTCATTTTATCATCCTTTCCAAAAGGTGACTCTCCTGTATAACTAGCTTCACAGTCCTCAGAAAGATGAATTCTCAAAATAGGTAAACATGCGTTTGATGGTAGACCCTATGTCAGGACTCAAAGCCAGTCTCCCTCCCCTCTCTAGAAGTTAGCAGTACTTGTGGTTGTGACATGGGGTGCCTCAGAGTGCATGGAAAGCTTTCCTCTTCACATGTATTTTTCCTGGTTTTCACATCATAGATGTGCAATCACTGATCAGGAAAAAGGAAATGATCAAAGGAGAGGGCCGAAGAAGGATTTGAACCTAGCTTTGGATCACTGTCCTTAGCCTGAGTAGATACCAGGTTTTCAGAGTCCTAGGAGGGGATTTTTGTGAGGAAGGAGGAGTATTTCAGACCTAATGAGCCATCTGGGGAGGGGGGGCTACCCTGAAAGCATAGGGGATGGGCTGATTGAACAAAGGTCATAAAAGGAGAAATAGGGGTCACGCTTGGATGGCTTTGTTGGCTTATGTCTTGTAATTGTGCCTTTTTCCTAAAGCTTTCATCATTCTGGATAGAAGGCAGCAAGACTAAGTGTTTGTCCATTAGGTGTTTTCAGGGGGAATTTTGGTGGTAGCAGACGTTCATGCCTCCCCAGACGCCTAGTGATTATTTTTTTCTAAATGGAGAAAGAACAAAACATTGGCAGAAGCTTAAACAGCAGCTGGCAAAAATGAAGTGACGCGAACACGGAATGTGTAAAAACATCCATCCCAGAGCCGGGCTTCACATTTGCAGACCCAGAATAAGCTGATAGCGAATTATTTTGGGGCTTTTGAGAATCTCTGAAGTTGCTAAATATCACCAATTTTGTCAGTGATCGAAGGAGGGAAGCTGGGGTTTTCCCCACATTTGGAGCGGGGCAGGGAGCACAGTGGGGAGGGGCCTCCGCAGGGCGGCAGCCCCTCCCACGCAGGCCCTGAGTGTTGCCCAGGTTTTGACCATCGGCACAGAGCTCTCCTTTAATAACATTTGCTTAATGCTTTAATTAATTAACACTTAACCTTCTCTTTCCCTTTTCAACCCTTTTTCTCCTCCCTTCGCTATATTCCCACGTAACTTAAAAAAATAAAATAAAAACTCAATACCAAAGCAGGCAATGCATGTGTGGCTATGCCTCACAAAATAGGTCGGATTATTGAGGGGAGTCCTGCAGACCGATGTGGCAAGCTGAAAGTGGGAGACCGGATCCTGGCAGTGAATGGATGTTCCATCACCAACAAGTCCCATTCAGACATTGTCAACCTAATCAAGGAAGCAGGAAACACAGTTACCCTCCGCATCATTCCCGGGGATGGTAAAGTATATGTCTTGTGTCTCTCATTCCCTCTCGAGCTCTTTCTGGGTCTCTCTTTCTCTCTCTCCCTCTGTCTCCCTGTCATCAGGATCCATGTAATAGAAGAGTGTTGACTGAGACGCAGGCTCACCCCTCCCTAAGGATCATACCCATCCTACAGATGTAAGCCACCATTACTAAACCTCACCGCCCCCCTCTCTTTTACGTAATCCTCTGCCTGTGACCCTGTGTTGCTGCAGATACAAACATTGCAGAAAATCTTAACTTTCCCCGTCTTATTTTGGTTTTGGTACCCTTGTCCTTACAATGATAGAGTAGTTTGAATACAGGCGGTAAAGATCCTCTGATGTTCTATCTGGAAATCATTAAAGTTTTGTTTTGTTTTGTTTTAAATCACTGAAATTTAACTGTATGAAGGGTGCCTGGCTGGCTCAGTCAGTAGAGAATGCAACTCTTGATCTCAGAGTCATGAGTTCAGCTTACTTAAAGACAAATTAATAAATTAAATAAAATAATTTTTTAAAGATTTTTTTTATTTATTTGACAGAGAAAGAGATCACAAGTAGGCAGAGAGGCAGTCAGAAAGAGAGAGAGGGAAGCAGGCTCCCCGCTGAGCAGAGAGCCCAATGCGGGGCTCGATCCCAGGACCCCGAGACCATGACCTAGCCAAAGGGAGAGGCTTAACCCACTGAGCCACCCAGGTGCCCCTAAATAAAAACTAAAATTTAACTGTATGATATGGTGACACCACAAAACCTACATGGGGACAATTCAGAGCCAATCCCTTTTTTTTTTTTTCCCCCCAGAATAAGTGAATATATGGAAGGTTTTTGTTGAATAAGAGATCCTTAGGGTTTGTGCCTACTTGGTTTGTCTAATTTTTGCATGTGGGTGAAAAAAAGAGTAAAACCTCTTTTTTGATAGGTTATATCTGCATTAAACTAGGACTGTTTTTGTTTGTTAGTTTGCTTGATCATTTGGTTAAATTGAAATCTTGTTTCTTTTATACCATTGGTGATTCTGCCCCCGAGGGGACATTCGGCACTGTCTGGAGTGGGTGCTAATGGGGTTTAGCAGTTAAAGGCCAGGGATGCTTCCTAACCTCCTACAGCCTATAGGATAGCCCCACACAATGTGAAGTTATACAGCAGAAAGTATCAATGCTCATTATTCCTATCTTTTTTAAGATTGACTTATTTATTTTAGGAGGAGAGGGTGTAAGAGTGAACGGGAGGAGCAGGGGTCAGAAGGAGGGGGAGAGAGAGAATATCAAGTAGACTGTGCTGGGCACAGAGCTGACACAGGATTCGATCTCACGATCCTGAGATCATGACCTGAGCCAAAATTGAGAGCTGACACTTCACTGAGTGAGCCACCCAGGCACCCCACTCATTATTCATATTCAATAAAGATGAAGTTGATACACTGATGTCGCTAAATATACATTCATCAGAGAATTAAGTCCTGAATACGGACTCAACCTAAGCAGACTTTGCCTTTGGGAGGAAAGTGCTACTTGTCTCAAATGTTTCCATGTCTTTTTGTTTGTAATTACTATATGTGTTATAAAATAAAATACATATTCTAAAAGTCAGTATTCTTCAAGAAGAAATGTAGTTTGAGGAGATAGTGTGATAAAAATTCTATGTCCTTGGGCCACCTGAGTGGCTCAGTCGGTTAAGCATCTGCCTTCAGCTCAGGTCATGATCCTGGGGTCCTGGGATCGAGCCCCAAATCAGGCTCCCTGCTCAGCATGGAGTAGGCTCTTCCCTCTCCCTCTGCTCCTCCCCCTTGCTTGAGCTCTCTCTCTCTCTCAGATAAATAAAGAAGACCTTTAAAAAAAAAAAAAAAAATCTGTCCTTGATCTGTAAAATAAGAAAATCAGAGATTTTATCTGAAAGTAATTCACCAAATGAATATTTGTATAGTTGGTAGAAAGCAATCCCTATTAGTTTCAAATTCAAGTGGTGTAAACTGTGAAAAGAAAATAAATCCTAAACCAAACAATAAATATTTGAAAATTGTCGGTTCCAAAACCAGAGAATTTTCTCTGAGCCAAAAATACCCCATACCAAATGTGGAGGAAAAAATAGCTCCTTGATTGCTGTTCTCCTTCACCCTGCCTCAGATGCATGGTAATTTACCATGTGGTTTGAGGGTCCATTCCACCAGTTCACCACTCTGGAAGGCAATTGCAATTTAGGAATGTGATCACAGGATGATAGAACATAGGTTCCTAATGGAAAGGATGAAGGAAGCCAGAAAAATTAAGTGAGAAGTGGTTGAGAGAGCCAAATGTAGTATATAAATTTAGGTACATCTATCTGCATACCGTACAGAGATTTCAAAAAATGAATCCAGAGGAATGCAACACAGGCATTGAGTTGCTATGTCTATATTGGTCAGTCTTAATGTGGGAAGGATAATGTCCAAAGAAGGAAGGAAGGAGGGAAGGAAAGTAACTCCTTGAGGGAAGGGCTTAGAAAAAGAGTTTGAAATCAGGAAAGATACAAATATGCAAAAGCAACTTATACTACTGTGCACATACTAAGTATTGACTTAATTTAATAAAATGCAATGGAAAAGTTTTGGAAAAATCTGAACACCAAAAAAAAAAAAAAAAAAAAAAAATAGTGCAAGGTGAATTATCCAGTAGCGGTTGTCAGTAAAAAGGCATTTTTTTTTAACTTCAATACTTAAAAATTATGAAATTCCGCTAGACACATCATATACTCTCTTGGCGAGAAGTAAATGTGACAGCTGATACAATGTAGTTGAGGACCCATGTGCTACCCAGGATGTGATTTCATCCCCAGATTCTGCAGTAGTTCATTGCCATGATAATAAAACTCATCATCAATTACTCTGTAAATTTCAGAAGCCAGGTAAAGGAAATCAAGTTTGACAGAGGGTGGATTTCTGATGCTCCTCTTCTTAATGGGGCCAAAAATGGCTGCCTTGGAAATTAAAATTGAGGCAGGGGAGTCGGATTTCTGGAGAAATGTTGGAATAATCCAGGAGAAGTTTGCAAACACTTAGAAGACAGAGTGACCATGAATGAAAGTCTGATGGAGGGAAACACATGGCAGATCACTTCCTTTCTGCAAAGGTGTGATAGAAGTAGAGAACTGTAGAATAAAAGGGAATTTCTGTTAGGGACCTCTGCTTTCCTTCACACCTTTCACATGAATGGTTAATTCATCAAGTAGCCCAAAGACAGTTTGTGTTGTGGTCCTTGCAAGGAGACTTAAGTTCTTAGAAACCCATGTTATCCCAAGTACTTTCGTCAGAAACCCTGGGAGGCACTTTAAGAAGATGGGAAAACACGCTGTCTTTTGGGTAGAGCACAGAACCCACTCAGGATCCACTTCTTTCCCTAGCTCCTGGTACCTAATTCTTTTTTTCTTGTCATTGTTGTACTTTCTCAACTTATTTCTGTATTTTCCCTAACTCTGCTTCTCCCATTTCTCTGTGGCCCCTTCAAACAAAGATTGGGAAACATGACTTTTCCTTTATTTGGCTTATTCTGTTCCTAGAAGGCCTGCCTTCCCACATCTTGGACAGGGCTAGATCGAGGGTCCTCACCTTGTCTGCTTTTAACTATCTTTGGGACCAGAGTGGGAGGTGCAACGGAGGCAGAACATTTTGTCCTATGAGATGTGAGCAGAGGATAATAACTATGTAAAGGCAGCACAGAAAGGCCCAGAGGAATAGCCAAACATACTGAATCTGAACTTGACATCCGACAAGTCAAGCCACACGTTTCCTACAACTCACTTTCTGTAGAAATAGTCTGTGAAATCTGGGTGGGAATGAGACTTTAATCAGACAAGGCAAACCCTTGGCTTATTCAAACTAACACAGAACCATCCATATGAATCAAGTTCTAGATATTTATAAGCTTAAAATAAGTTACTTATATTAAGTCTTAAATTCAGACCACTCTGATTCAAAGTATTTGTTATATAGGAGGTAAGGGCATGGCAACCCAAACGTGGCTATTTCCTTGGCAAAGGCATAGAATGGTATAAATATCTCAATAGAAGGCTCTGTGGTTCCGATAGCTTGCAAAAGGGATAGGGTAAAAGGAAGAGGGTTCCAACCATAACACATGTTGGAAGTCTCCCAGAGCTTCAAATATTTATGGGATTCAAATTTTCAAACACTTCCTTTAGATATTTATTACATGTGTGTTTATGCATTCAAATATTTATGAAAGAAATGATTGTATCCCTTGTTGATTTGTTTGGCTCTGTAGTGTGGATTCTGTACCGCACACTTAAGGTATTAACATGGGGTCTAGGTTGGAACTGTAATCACTTGTCATGGAGATACTGAAACCCAAGGTAGAAGCTCCTGTCAGAAGTTAGTGCCCTGATTTAGCACAACACCATGATACTGCCTTGAGATCCAGCATATGCTTTGCTTCAGACGTGATTGATATGGAAAGTGTAGTAATATCTATTTTCATTCCTCTGAGAGAACTAAAGTAGGTGTAAACACTGTTTAATAAATGATAGAGGACATTTTCTGGAATTTATCATCAAAATAGCCAATCTGTCCATGTATCTTGAAGTTTTAAAAGTCAAATACATTGACATCCATTCATAATAACTGTGCTGGAGGAGGCTCTTTTATCTGGCCCTTGTTTTATGGAGCAGGTTTTATTTGGGGATGGAGCTGTAGATCTGTGATAATGGCCTTTATCTCTGTATTTTAAAAAGCTAGAGAGAATTTCAACACATAAAGTCTTGGTATAATTCTAAATGAAGACTTGAAAGTTTAATAAAAATAAGTATAACTTTATTGATATAAAAGCATCCTGGAAATCCGGGGTATGCTAAAAATTATTTAAGTGCTTAGAAGATGGCTCATGAAATCTTGAGTCAAAGCAGAGTATTTTTTTTTTATTTTTTTTTTTAAGATTTTATTTATTTATCTGACAGACAGAGATCACAAGTACGCAGAGAGACAGGCAGAGAGAGAGAGGGAAGCAGGCTCCCTGCCGAGCAGAGAGCCCGATATGCGGCTCGATCCCAGGACCCTGAGAACATAACCTGAGCCGAAGGCAGAGGCTTTAACCCGCTGAGCCACCCAAGCGCCCCAAGTATTTTGTTTTTTAATTAAGCTGTGATAGTTGGTGGTATTTATGCAGTAAGATAAAGGCACTGCTTCTTTGAAAGGAACACACCAACCAATTAGATAGGATTTCCTTGATACTGACACACAATTCCCTTGTCAGTGGGAATAAGACTCTGGATGACTTTGGGCATGTTACCTACCCTTCCTAAACCTAAGTGTCTCTATCTGTAAAGTGGGGGAATAACTGCCCCAATTTCATTGAGTTGTAAGAATGAAAAGGAAATGCACTTAGCACAAAGCTTGGCACTTCGTAAACTATCAAGAAATGGTGGTGGCTCAGAGATTAAGAAATACAGCAATAGGAGGAAAATTCAGTGTGCTCAAATAATCATTTGCATATAAATGTTAATTTTTTAAATGCTTAAAGTTAATCTTCAAAACAGATTTGCATATAAATATGCAGAAAATAGCAAGCGAAAGATAGGAGGAACATTAATAAAAGAATTCTATTTATATGTGTATTGAGTGATTATCTGTCATAACTCATCAACTCATGAAAGCACAGAAATTTAAAAAAAAAAAAACAAAAAACCGTTTCAGAATGGGACCTGATCTGCCTTGAAAAACCCTAGCTACCGAAAACACACAAGAACTCAAAAGGGGAACTCCTGCACAATTCAGTAATTATAATCACTTTAATTACAAGGAAACGTACTTTTTGGTATCCTGATTATGATTTCCCCACGGCCCGAACAATCTTGTGATTTCCCAGAGAGTCTCCATAAAATTAATTACAATGAGCAATATTAATTTTTTTAAAGGACCAATACAGGGGTTGATGAAACTTCTAGTGAATCATATTGATAGGCAGTGCGGCCTCTGAGTCTGTTGTTCTGACACAGTGGGTGTACTTTATGGAAAATCACATAGATTTATCACTTGGTTGTGCCAGTTAACTGCACTCATCAAAATGTACTAATAATACGGTTTTAATATTGTAATAACAGTAATAAATACATACTCCCAATAAAAAATGTGCTAATCATCTTTTGCATCGTTTTTAAGTGCCAGGCACTATTCCCAACACTTTGCTCTCAGATGATCTTTACACGAATTTTCTTGGCTACTTCTGTTGTCCTGCAGGGACAGACGAGAAAACTGAGGCATAGGAGGTTTACGTGACTTTGCATAAGTCCCAGCCTATAAATGACTGAGCTGGGGATGCACACTGTCAGACATTCTGAGTCTGGAAGCTGACCTCCTAATGGGACATTATGCTAAGCTGCCTCCCATGAAGCCTGAGGAGCACCACCTCCCCAGCTCAGGGGGCGTTGCAAGGTACATTGGCATAGTATAGGCTCTGATTATGCTTGTAGGGAAAACAAAATACAGACACAGAAAAACACTTCCCTCTATTTCGCCCATTATTTCTCATCCTTAATTGACCACAAGTTCCTTTCCCGCAGAATCTGTAGGTTTAAACAGACCACGGGAAACTTGTCCTAAAAGATGAATTGGATTCACTTTACAGTTTACTTGATCTAGTTACATTTAATTATTAAACTTGTGCCTTAGCTCTCAGCATCCTGGACTTTATGGGTGGAATATAGATTGTTAAAATCATAATTCAGCTTTCTCATTTTGGAGAGCATTTAAGTTCCCATGATAATAAATCAAAAGTAGAAGAGGCAGCAAGGGCCATAGGTACAATAAAGGTGTATGGAGTGCTTATGGTATGTCATACTCTATGGAGCTTTCCATATACTATTATCAAAGAGGAGAGCTATGTTATCATCCCCTTCCATCAGATGAAAAAAATAAGGCATACAGCTAATGAATGGGAAGGGGGATTGGATCTCAAGGCCATGATTTTAACTGTGTAATGCAATAAAATAACAGGAAGCAAGACCCAAGCTGAGTTAATATCCTTAGGAAATTAAAATGGAAGATAGACCATAAGGAATTGGGATTTCAGGGATGCCCTGTCACTCAGGATTACAATGGAGAAGAGATGCAGTCCAGGTATCCCAGGTGGGACTACTTAACACATTTTCCCATAGAAACTGTTATGCATTAGGGTGAGTATATGTATTCTGCAAGCATTAGAGTGCCTACTGTGAACTGGTGGACTCCTAGGAATTTGCAGAATTCACTGCACACTGTGATTTAAATAGGCATTCATAGACTAATCTGAGAACCTAATGACCACATTTAGTATTTTTTTTTAATTTTTAAAGATTTTTTTTATTTTTTTTATTTGTCAGAGATCCCAAGTAGGCAGAGAGGCAGGCAGAGAGAGAGGGGGAAGCAGGCTCCCTGCTGAGCAGAGAGCCCAACGCAGGTCTTGATTCCAGGACTCTGGGATCATGACCTGAGCCAAAGGCAGAGGCTTTAACCCACTGAGCCACCCAGGCACCCCTTTAGTATTTTTCTTGATAAGAAAATGTATGCCAAGTTCCAAACAGTCAATCTAAAAGTGCAACTTACTCATAATTGCGTGCTATCTGCCTTGATCTTAATGGAGAAATAATTAGTAAAAGGCTATATAACCATTACTATGTAAGCGATTACATTTTAATATATGCTAATATATGCATGTTGGTGTGCAGTCTATAGGGCACGCTTGTGAGCGTTTTCAAATTCTGGATCTCCACACTTCTAGAGATTAATGAAGTTGCTTATGAATGTGGTTAGTGGAGAAGAAAGTCCATTTCCATAAGAATGTAATCATATTCATGACATTAGGGTGGCTTCATGATTTATACAACTTATATTTACAAACTCTGGCTCTAATGCAAGTTTTGGAATTCATCTTCCATCAGTGATGCTAGATGAGATCTGCGAAGAACCCCACATTTCCAGTCGTGCTTCATTAGAAGCAGTGAGGAAGAAGGTAGACGTGTGTGCGTGTGTAGTTAACAAGATGTTAGCACACTTCTGATTTTAATATTCACCCGAGGAAACCAAGCAGACTCACGAAACATTGCTGACAAATTGCGGGAAACATTAGTAGAGATTTACTATTTTTACTATTGTTTTTTACCATCAACCGGTACCGTTCTGGGGAGAAGCCGTGCGGGCGTGGTGCAGCATTTTGACGGGACTTTGCCATTTTTAAGTGTCAGGGAGGGAGAGACATGTCCTCTGGGCACAGTTCTACAGTAGCATGTTCTGGGGCAAACACTTCAGTTCATCTGTGGGCATATCACTTGGGAGGAGGGTAATGGAGACCTACATGCCTCATATCACAGATCTTAGAACGGTTCTTTTAGGTCTTCATTGTTTAGAAGTTCAAGTCAGAACAGCTTCAAACAGTGACAGAGAAACCAGACTTGTCTTTCAGATATGGGACTTCTGCTTCCCTCCTGGTTTGATCTCTTCTCCCCGGCCCTCATTCTGTTATGCTCTGTCTCTCCCTGCAGAGTCTTCAAATGCCACTTTGCTGACCAATGCAGAGAAGATTGCCACCATCACCACTACACACACCCCTTCTCAGCAAGGGGCCCAGGAGACCAGGTCAGACACAACTTTAGTTGCTTTTGTTAGCTTTAAGGGAAAAAACTAACTCCTGGCCTGACGATACTCATCCCTGATATTTTTTTTTCCCTTCCTGTTTCCCCCATGGTTTGCTTTTACATTTATTTCTCTCCCTTTGGCAGGAATACCACCAAACCAAAGCCGGAATCTCAGTTTGAGTTCAAAGCACCCCAGGCAACACAGGTGAGGGCCATTCTTCTTTTTTCTCTGTTTGCTTCGCACATTTCCTTCCAACTTTCTGAAGCTATGTTTATGAGATATCTTTTATAAGATACTCTCAATTAAAATAAATAACCTTTTGTGAGAGGATGTACTAAATATGTACTCACATTTAGTTGTCTAGGAAATGACATTTTATTTTACTACCTTTGAAAAATATTCCTAGATACCCTTTCCTAGGTGGGGAAAAAACAAAATCAAAAACCATAATTGCCTCAGGGACTGGCCAGCAGAGAAAGACAAAATCGTGAATATCTACTCATGGTATTCATAACTGTGTTTATGCCAAGAAAATGTCTTTTTGTTGTTGTTGTGGTTAAGGCTTTTCTCAGCCTTGTGAGTTTCGGGTGAGACGCTCAGAGCTAACTGCCCGTCCCGCAGGGTGGTAATAGGGAGCGCACAAACATGCAGGTGAAGCAAATTTGGGAAATATTGGGGGATGATTAAACGGGTTAATTTTGAGTGGCCTTCTCAGAGCCTTCAACAATCCATTCATGCTTCTCCTCAGCCAGGGTAGCGGCCCCTCCCCAGGTGTGAGGAGATCGTTGTTGGGGTCCTAGTGAAAGACACTGCTGCCATTTTGCAGGTGTGGGGCATGGAGGCTGAACTTCCAGCACTGTGCAGGATGGTATCATGTAATGACCTTTCCTGCCACAAATACGATTTGTGGCCTCCCTGATGAAATTTTAGTATATGCATGTTGGTGTGCAGTCTGCAGGCACGATCATGAATGTTTCCAAATTGGCATCTGCAACCTTCTAAGATGGATGACCCTTACTAAACCATGGGGAATCACCAAGAGAAGGGTAGAGACCATGCCTTTTTGTCACATCACCCTGACAGAGAATATTTGGGAAGAGATGGGAAGAAATATGGACAGATAGAAAGACGCTTACCTCAAATGACTGCATTTCGTTTTTTTTTAAATAGGAGCAAGATTTTTACACTGTGGAACTGGAAAGAGGAGCCAAGGGATTTGGCTTCAGTCTTCGAGGGGGCCGAGAGTATAACATGGACCTCTATGTCCTGCGCTTAGCAGAGGATGGTCCAGCAGAAAGGTGTGGAAAGATGAGGGTAAGTAGGAAGAGGATTCTGGACAAAAAAGTCATCTGCAGCGACTTTTTGACCTTACGTGGCTAGAACCTTCTTGTTCCTAAGAAGTGCATTTTCTACTGTTCTCAGGACACTGTAGATGCATGACTCCCACCCTAGGATAAATTTCTCCCTAAAGCATGGTTGGTGGTAGCTGAAATGAAAGATTGAAATTACTTGTAAGTTAATTGAAGTAAATACTTTCCCAATCCCAGTCCCACAGTCCTTATACTTAATCTCATAAGGCAGGGACATCACTTCACAGGAAATCCAAGGTACACCAGGATGCTTACAGAGCAGGAGGGGCTTATAGTGCTGTTGGTTTTGGGTGGTGAGCTCCATTCAGGCTCCAGCTAGTCACGAGCTGTATTACCTGAGCCTCAGGAGCAGGTCAGTTCAGCACAGCATCTCCATGGCATGAATGTCTCTATGGTAGTCAAAGCAGCAAATTTCAAATGCCAAAAGATCACTCTGTTCCGTATAGGTATCTACTGTCTGTTACTGTGTATGCATATGTCCCTTTCTGGGGGTGGGGGGAGGGGAGGGATTAGGTGGTTTAAAAAAAAAAAATTGTGTCGTCATTATAGAGAGGCCACTTAGATTGAGGCATATGCACAGGGAGCAGTTTGCTACAAATGAAAAGAAAGCAGACAGCCAGGTCCAGAAAGGAAAAAAAGTGCATGGAATTGTTCCAGAGCGACGAGGGGAAAAAGTGACCAAGGGTAGGGAACTTAATATTTGTACTTAAGGCATAATATCGCTTTTTAAATTTTTTCAGATTGATTGCTTTTGAAGGACTGTATTTATCTATCTACCTGTCTATTTATTGAGAGAGAAAGAGCTGGGGAGGGGCAGAGGGAAAGGGAGTGAATCTCAGGCAGACGTCCGGCTAAGTGCCCAGCTTGACACAGGGCTCGAGCCTGAGATTTCACCTGAGCTGAAATCAAGAGTCAGACGCTTCATCGACGGAGCCACCCAGGCGCCCCCAGATTGAATTTTTAATGAGTTTTTTTTTTTTTTTTAAATTGAGAAAGTAGACCATGAATATGGCTATAAAAACTTAGTGGAAAATGATCCATATTTTAAAATACAGTTTCCAAAGTCAAACCGGATTACCAATTTCTTACATATTCTTTTATGCAATTATATGCAAGACTTGTGCACAAAGGACTAGAGACACTATATATTGCTTTTGTTTAAATTTTAAACACAATGGGGTATGCTTTTCCATGTCTTTGCTTACTGAAAAAAGTTTCTGATTTAATGGACTGTCATTATCATGGTATTTTGTATTATATAGTTCACAAGACACATTTATGTGACTTACCCAATTTGGTCCTCACACCTTGGTAGGGATGGGTTGTTAACACCCCCTTTTATGGATGAGAAAGTGAGTTCCAGGATTTTAAAGGATTTGAGCGAGATCAGTTAGCTCGTAAGTGATAGGACTCCAATTTAAGGCTTTCATCTTCAAAGCCAGTACTTTTCCTCTTCTGCTTTTTGGAAAATAAGCTCCATGAGAGTAACAATCTTGCCTGTCTTGTTTACTCCTTTATCTCCAGTGCCTAGAACAGTAGCTGACACATAGTAAATGCCACATCCATGCATCAGCCACGGTTGTGGTCTCATCAGAAAGCTTACCTGGGGAAGTGTTTGCTTCTAAGCTCACTCACAGGGTTGTTGGCAGGATTCTGGGCCTCTTGGGCTGTTGGCCCTAGCTCTCCCTCATCTCCATACTATGACCTCTGAGGGGCAGCTCACTACATGCGTTAGAGTGAACAAATGGGAAAATAAAAGAGGGGCATATAAGACAGAAGCCAGGATTATTTTGTAACCTCATCTTTGAGCTGACATCACAACACATTTACCAGAAGCAGGTCACTTCTTCCAGCCCACATTCGAAGGGAAAGAGATGACACAGGATATGAATATAAGGAGGAGAGCATCTGCCTACCACATCTTCTTTTCCTCAACAATTAATATTCCTTTTACTGCTTCATTTTTTTTTTCCCGTAGCACTTATGCTTTCTAACATACACATATGTCTCTAACCTTCTTGTTAATTTTCTTCCATTAGCATGTCATCTCCATGAGGACAGGCATTTTTGTTTCTTTCACTGCTGGATCCTAAGCAACAGGAGATTTTCTGGAATATACTTAGTAAATAAATAAATAAATATTTAGTAAATCACTCATTGAAAGAATTTTAAAGCATAAAGCACCTTGACAGCTGGTCAGATCCTTTGTGATGTCCTCACTCTGTTGTCTCTTGCTTTGGCAGATTGGTGATGAAATTTTAGAGATCAATGGCGAGACCACCAAAAACATGAAGCATTCTCGGGCTATAGAACTGATTAAGAATGGCGGCCGCAGGGTCCGTCTGTTTCTGAAGCGGGGAGACGGCTCGGTACCAGAATATGGTGGGTCAAACTATGAAAACCTTCCTTCCTTCCCTGGCATGACTCCATGAATTTGTCTCCAGAACTGCAGCAGGAAAGTCTTTTTGTTTTCCCCCTGTTCACCAGTGTCTCACCAGCCTTTCGCACCATGTGATTATTTGCCTCGCTTGTTCTGAAATCTCTACACATTTCATCCTTTTGCTTGCTTACGTGGACCGGGGCGTGGCCTAAGACAAGATCTTTGTAGCCCCCTTTCTGATAATCAGAGAGAACATTTTGTCTAGTCCAACCAAGAGCGAAGGAATGTTTGTTGGAACTGTGCCAAACTGTTTCTCAGACCCAATTGTTAGCACAAACTGACTATACTCCTTTTCAGAAGCAGGAAAGCAGGTTTCCTGAGTGATATGTTGAGGCACAATTCTCCTTTATTTTTTTTCTCTTTTGGTTACTTGATGATTTTGCTTAAGAGGCGTGAACTTTTTGAGATGATTTGGGGGCCTTGCTGACCTCCTTTGTGCGCTGTATATGACACTTCTGCATATCCCCGTTGCTGGTCCCTATCCCCAGTCAGACCACCTGAGCCCACTACTAGAAGACAAACAAAACTGTTGATATAGTAGCCATATGTTTTTAGATGAAAAAGGATGAAATAGATTCCCAGTGCTCATCATGAGGGAAACATGTTACTATACCTTTCCTATGGGGAAAGCCAGGTTATACATAGAGTTCCTTTGTCATATGTGTAGACATGATTTGAGTAAACAGCAATGATCTTTACGTAGCGTAGTCTTCTGATGGCAAAATATTGTATATTATAATGATTATGTCCTATTTATTTGAGGTCTTGTTTAAAATTAAAAAAGAAAAAAAAAAGCTATGCCCTAGATGTAGGGCTTTTCTTCCCAACCAAAGGTCTACAGAAGTTTCTATAGAAACTGTGATTGAATGGTCCTCATATACGTTGGTCCCCTTTATTAGGGATTGATCTGTTATCACCCCCTTTTCCGAAAGTCATTCTGCACAATTCCCAGTTGCATTTTGGACTTGGTGAGGTCCTTAATTCAGATGCAGCTCAAAGAGAAGGATAACCCTTTTAAAGGACAGCCTTCCCAGGTGTTGGACCCTCATATACAGGTGTAAAATACGAGGGGCCTAAAGTGGGGGGAGGGAAGGTCATCAGATGAGGCCCCTATAGATATGGCCAACCATGGGGGAGGTGTTTGGACTTTGAGATGCCACAGCTGTGCACTGTACTAAACCTCTGACCATAGGTGTATCAATGCCACTGAAACTGTGTAACATTGTCTCCCTTTTCTGTCTCCCCTATGCTTCTGTTGGATGTGATATTTCATTTGAGAGTCATCGTCAGTAACCTGTGTACCTTCTCAAAACCTATGTCTGTTGCACTGAGGATGAAAATCCAACACTAACAAATGTTCTTTGGGCTAAAAATAAAGATCCTTTAAAGTACTCATTTTTTCCAAGAAGGGTTGAACATGCCAGAGTTGTGCTGCTGTAATGTCTCCATGTGTCATTTGGACTAAATCTCTCTAATTCTATCGATTAGAGTCACAAATGGGTTATAATATGTTAAGTTCCAATATTTTTCTGACTTGATTGGAACCTGCTTCTCTGTGAGGCTATTTTTGTAATGAGTTTTTTGTACTTAATTTAACTGCCGCGGTCTTCAGGGGTGGGGGAGGGAGGGAGCTTTGGTCTTTTGTTGTTATTGTTAATGCTCTCCTATGCCGGTTTGCCATTGTTCCAGTTGTTTGAAAAAAAAAAAGAAAAAAAAGAAAAAAAAGAAAAAAGGATGCATCCATTGTCTGGGTTCTCGAGTCACCTTATATGGCTGTCTAAGAAAATGTCACTGTTCTGATTGCGGTCTCTGCAGCCTTATTTGAGTGTTGCCTTAGACTGTCTAACTGGACAAATAAACTCTCTTTGCCCTATGTTAACAAATGCAGATTTTTTTTTCTTTCCTCTTTGTTATAGGGAATCTAAATGTTCAACTTTTTCTCTTTCTCTCTTTCTCTTTCTCTCTGACTGTTTTGGTGCTGGGCCCTTCCCTTCTACAGCGATGATACCTCCTAATCTCGCTGCATGTATGAGAAATGAAAAGCTCGGGGAGGCTTGCTTCTACCTTATGGGCCATAATCAAACTACGGTTTGTAGCTCAATCAATACTAGGTGTTTCTGTGCTGTGGCCTAATTTCCTCATTGCTTCTGCTTAGCTCTATTTTGATATGTTTGGCAATTCATTCTGAGCACACTGCATTCTTTGAATTGTAAGTACACCACCGACCCTACTGAAGTCTTACTGTCCCTTATTTTAAAAAGTAGGCGTAAGAAACCCCAAGGTTAGATTTGTGAGAGTGATCTAAGCACCTATCCTTACCCAAAGCTGAAAGCGACTTTGCAAGCTCCTGTTTGTGTTAATTCTAGGACCCACCATTCAGAAAGAGCAAACCTCCTATCCCAGAGAGTCCTCCCCCAGGTGGGTAAGGCTTCGATAGAAAGGTGACGTGTCCTACTCAGTCAGCTATCTCTTGGGACACTACAGCCCAAGGGCCAAATCTTGTCCACAGCCTGTTTTTTTTAAGTAAAGTTTTATTGGCACATGGCCACACCCATTTCTTTTCTGAATTGTTCTACAGCTGCCTTTGCGCTCTGGTCCAGTTAAGTAGTTCTCACAAACTACACAGCTGGCAAAGCCAGAAATATTTACTCTTTGGCCCTTTGCAGAAAGTTTACAAACCCTGCTCTAGGCTATCTTCCTGTTTTTAATTAAAACCCACCCTAGGTTTTGGGAGATCATTCACGAAACAGATTGTTTAATGTTGACCTTGTTGCCTCATGAAAGATCCTTAAAGAGTTCCTGGGATTCCTTCGTCTCCATGACCGTCACCCGGGTTTGCCCTTCAGTCGGCAGCCCATCATTTCAGGTGTCTTGCCGGGAATCGTATAATGTGTCTGGCTGAGCATCCCTGCCTTGAAAAGCCCTCTCATAATGTCAGGATGCCACCTAAAACATTGGCCATGTCATTTCAAATAGTTTAATAATAAATAGGACCCCTCTATCCCCCCCCCCCCCCCCCGTGGGCTTCTCTGCTTTGAAGTCTATAGGTATCTTGATGTTGTAAGAAGAAGTGCAGGGAGCCCTTGGCTCCTGGAAGCAGCTGGGGCTACCTTGTGTAGCATAAGGAAAGCTGCCTCGGAAAGACTTTATCTGAACCCCATCTAATGTCAGACATGCCCCTGACAACCTCTCTTCCACTCCCTTTTGTCAGGAAACTCCATGTTTTGCAAATAGTTTCTTAAACTCACCCCAAATTAGAGAAAGTTGTTGAATAAAATCCACAAAGGCAGAGAGGATGTTTAATGGACCCTCACATACATGTCACATTTGGGAGTCATCCATATCTGTCCATGTTGCCTCTAGAACACCCTTTGTCCACCATCCTGGAGTTTTTTTTTTTTTTTTTTTTTTTAAGAAAAGTGTTTTTAAAAAGGAGTGTAGTTTGCATAAAATGCTTAAAGTCTGAGTATACGGCTCAGGGTTTTTTTGTTTTGTTTTGTTTTGTTTTGTTTGTTTTTTTTAAACCTCTGTAAATCCCCATTTTAATCACCCAGATCAAAATATAGCCTCTTTACATCCCCCAGAAAGTTCCCACATCCCCCTCCAGGTCAATAACCTAGATTACTTTTAAGCGAATTAAAACAAGTATTCTTTAAAGAAAAGAATGTTTTCTTTGGTGGGGGTGCAGGGCGGGAGGAAGGGTGGACAGGAGGGAGGGCTTGGTGGGTGGGAGAGAAGAGCAGGAGGTAGTTGGGATGGGGACTTCTCCATACTTCTAGATACACTGTTTGGGTTATGCCTTTAAAGACTAAAATCGTGACTTACACTGTAAGTTCCTTAATGATCTATGTCTGGGGTGTAGCCATCGGTAGCTAGATGCGGAAAGCCACAAGTACTAAGTTTTTCATCTTCGCTAGTTGCAGTTAAACTTAACCAAGATTCAGTCGGCTTTGATTCTGACTGCTTTAATAGTTGTTTGCTTGTTGTGACTAATGAAACCTCAGGCATGGGAGTGGGGACAGGAGCCAAAGACCCTCGATACCAAACCGTGGCTCTCCTTTCTTTTCCTGGCAGACCCCAGCAGCGACCGGCACGGCCCCGCCGCCGCCCGTGCACAAGGTGTTTCGGAAGTGAGGGCAGCGCCCCCCGACCGCCGACAGCATCCATCATTGGAGTCCAGTTACCCACCCGATCTTCACAAATCATCACAGCATGGGGAAAAGCGGGCACACGGGAAAGACCCAAAAGGCAGCAGAGAGTATAGCAGACAACCCAATGAGCATCACACATGGAATGGAACTTCTAGAAAACCCGACAGTGGGGCTTGCAGACCCAAGGACAGGGCACCAGAGGGACGGAGAGAGGCGCCCCCAGAGCGGATGGTGACCAACGGCCCCAAGAGGAGGCCCCCGGAGAAGCGCCGAGAAGGCACCCGTAGCGCAGACACCACTTTGGAGAGGAGGGAGAAGCACGAAAAGAGACGAGAGCTTTCTCCGGAGCGGAGACGCGAGCGCTCGCCCACCTGCAGAAGGGACAGCTCACCCAACCATCGCAGGAGGTCCCTGGAGAGACTCTTGGATCAGAAACGGTCCCCAGAGCGCAGGAGGGGGAGCTCGCCAGAGCGGAGGGCCAAGTCCACCGACCGCCGTCGGGCGCGGTCCCCTGAGCGCAGGCGCGAGCGGTCCTTGGAGAAGAGGAACAAGGAGGACAGAGTCAGCCACCGAGAAAGGGAAGAGCCCAGTGTGAAACAGGATGCCGGCCGAAGCTCCAGACATGCCCCAGAGCAGAGAAGGCGACCTTACAAAGAATGTAGCACCGACCTCAGTATCTGAGACGCTGAGGCACATTCCAACCTTTACCGTGTCAAAGGTTCTAAGAGGAGGGTCACAAACCTGAAATAATTTAGTTTCTTACCTGGTGAAGCGTCTAATACCCGATGATCCTATGAAGAGCAACAAACATTTTATGCATTTGAAATCTTCTAAGAAAATATATATATATATGAAAAGTGTTGTGCCTGATGTATAATATTAAAGAAAGTATTTTTAAATGCATACTTTTTTGGAAATTATTTGCCAAATGCTGCCCCGAAGGGATATACATTTTGTTTCTACATAAACTGTAGAATTGTCAAGAATTGTTCCCTTTTGGGGGGCAATCTTTTTCTCTCCTGGTTAAATAGGGCTGTTGATCATTTTCTCTAAGGGAAATTATTAAGTTTAATTAATTTGATGTAGATTGTTATGTAGTGATGTAGTGCTATACTGTAGTTAGGAGTTTTTCTTAAAAAAAAAAAAGCAAAAAGGCAAAAGTTATATTTGTAAAAGCTGAGGATTCTTTGGGATGGATTAGGATTGCCGATGATCCTAAAATTAAACTGTATGAAGAGACTACTATTGCAAATGAAGGATATTTATAGCTAAACTACACAGCACAAAGAAATGTTCCCTTCTCAAGTCGTAGTTGGTTCAGAAGACAGTTCCGTACTCTCCCTGGCCATAGAAAGGCATGGACAGGAGAAGGTTGGCTGCCATTACCCAAAAGTAGCCCAAGCACAGATGGTCAAGTTCATTAGCATCACCCACATCTAATAAGATCTCATTAAGGCAGTGCCATCACAGCTTTGCTCAGCTACTAAAAGGAACAGACGGACAGTGAGCACCTTCTGTGTTGTCTTGTCTGATCACAGGCAGAATAGTGGCTGGAATGGGGAACAGTGTGCCCAGTGCAAGGGAGCTGTGAGACTCCTTCATACAGAAGGTGTGTTCCCCCTTTGTAGCATAAGCCCAAGGTTGCCCTTTGCCGAATTGGGGACCAGGGAGTGAGTGTTGGTGGAAGTTACCTCTCTGTTGATATTTCAAGAAGTGAGGTCTGGGGGTGCTTAATTCCTAGAGATGCCGATTTCCCTTTGAAACCATAGTAAAAGTCTCCAGGATGGTTGAAAGGGAAAAAGACACAGTCCCAGTGGTTCTAGATCAAGTTGGCAAACCTCTGCCCTCATGATAGTGTCCTTTGAGTCTTTGGATAGCAGAACAAAGCATAACCATTTTTCTTTTTATAAACGACCCATTCTTTTGCAGTCCCACAGGAGGTGTGGTTGGGTCGGCTTGTAGCCCCAGGATGTGGTTGGAATGGATTACTGCCTAGCTGAGCCAAACGTTTGCTTGTACCTGTTGGACCACTACAGCAAATCGCTGCTTACAATGCATTGTGTATTTCTGTAGTACTGTTTTGCATTTTCCATACAGACACACAACTTTGCAAGTCAATCACTGTTATTCTCATGGTACTGTTAAAAAAAAAGGAAAAAGGAAAAAAAAAAATGGAGAAAACCAGCCAATCATTGTGTGTACAGAGTTAAAAATTATAATTAATAGAGCCTGTTTAAAAAAATTAAAAAAAAAACAACTGTTGCCTTTTTTTCTTGTATAAAAGAGAATTTATGACAAAAAATTTAGCTGTGAGGAATGTGATATGTGTTTATATTTCTGAATATGGAACAAATTGATTCATTGGGATATATTTTAATGTAAACTAAATCAGGTATGTAAAGCTGTTTTAAAATGGGAGACTCTATAAGTAATTCTCTAAAGCTTTAGTTGGTTTGAATATCATCATTTCCTCCATGGTGAGCCTGCTTTGTGAATTATTAAGCACTTGTTCGCATTCTCTGTTCCTCACTCATTTCTTGCCGTGTGCTATGGACTTAATGCTCTTTCTGTATTGATGAAAAGCAGTATGTGGGCCAATCTTTTTATAAAACACTATGCATATATAAATATTACATTGTTCATAGCTTTATTTGATTTCTGGATTGATACATAATGTAGACGGAGTTCCTACAGGTGTGTGGACAGGCACAAAACACGTTCCCTTCCTGGAACAGAGACAATGTACATTCTGTAGCTGAAAAGGAGGAAGAGGGTCTGTGACTGCTACTTCTATTAGAGTTTTCCACACAAAGCCTCCATTGAGCTGTAGTAGTAAGGCTGAGGGAGAACACAACAGAATAAGGACATTGGTCTTCATCAGTTTCCTTAGGAGCCCACTTGGGGATTTTATTCCTCAGGCTCCACTGCTAGGAATGTTCTCACTATTTCTAGCAGAATCGGTGATATTAAATGATCGATGCTCTCACTTGTTTTAAATAAATGAAATCAAGGTGGATTTGGGGAGTACATCATGAGGATAACATCTTAATGCCTTTCCTGTTGTCAGAGGTGATATCTGACATTTTAAAATCTTTGTGGTACCCACCGGGGCTTGGCTCAGTCCGCGAAGACTTGGTGTGGCAGTTTCCTCTGAGTCCCACACATCAGATTGGCTTTGGAAATATTGTACTCTACAGGGACTATGCATCAAGCAGAAAGATCTAGTTTTCTCTGAACTACTGTAACCTTAAATTGCAGACTGATTCTTGTGAGCCTACTTTCCCTAATCCCCCACTTCATGTAAATGTCTTGATGAGAGATGATGGATGAGTATTTTGTATGATTAATCAAACCATTGAAGAATTCCCCTCCCACCCATTACACAGTTGATGCCTGAAAGAATGTTGGGGGTGGGGGAGAACTCAACACCCTACTTGTATTTTTTAAGTTTCTTTTGTGAAAGATTTTTTAATGCATTTTTACTGTAAAAATACATGGAAATGTATGCATTCCATAACCACTATTGCTTCTCGATGGATATCTTTCTTGTCTCTGCGTTGTCTCAAATCTATCAGGGTCACGTAATCAAGTGAGAGTGTCTGGCTCCAACCCAATTCATCAGCATCCAATTCTGTCGAAAGAGAAGTAATTATGCCTATGCAGCGGTAGTACAGTGCCCTGCTACTCAAAGTGTGGTCCGTGGACTGCCTGTCTCATCATCACCAGAGAGGGTATTAGAAATGCAGACTCTCAGGCCCACCCTAGACCTACTGTGTCAGAATGTGCTTCTAACAAACTCCCTAGCTAATTCAAATGCACCTGATGTTTGAACAGCCCAGGATAGCAGGGAACCCTGGTAAAAAGCAATACTGGCTAAGCCAAGTGCCTCATCACTTCCCATATGATCTTGAGCAAGTTCCTTAACCTCTCTTTGTAAGCCTCACTTTCCTTGTCTTTAAACAGACATATCTCAGAGTTGGTAAGAATAAAGTGCAAAGTGCTTAGCATACCTCTGGCAATCAGAACAATCCTTAGCCAATGATTCTAAATTTTTTTTTTTTGAGGAGGAGAAGGAAGAGGATACTCTGCCTGACAATTGTCCCAGTCTATTTTCCAATGAAAATGAAGAAATATATTCCCACTCTTTTAAAATGGGGAAGAGGGCCTCCTGTTTTAATTATAAAGTTAATGAACAGTGTGGCTCCTGCTACTTAGTCTAATTAAACTTACCAGTGTTTTGAACTATAAAACCAAGATGCTGTGCTGTGAAAGTTAAGAAGAAAATGGTCTCAGAGCAGAACTTTTAGAGATGTACGTGGAGTTAGACATGTGCCTAACCAGTCCTGGTAGATAGAAAGGTTAACCAATTACTGAGTGGCTTAACACATGTCCTGGTTGATCATGTCATTTCTAATGACTTTCCAATTCCCTTCACAGTTTTTGGATTGTTCCTGCAGTATCATTTAGTAGTTACAGCTTACGTATACAACCTAAGTTCCTGGGCATTCAAAAAGGTATTGTGTTTAATAATAGGCCTTCCTACAGTCTATCCCTTTTGCTGTATTTTCCTTTATTTTGTCACCAGCATGGTAATTACAGACACTGCTCATTTCCCCAGTATCTCTTTTGTTAAAGATGGCACCAAAAATGGTCCCTGGCTTACCCGATAATTGAAGCTATTTGTAAAGCCCATATGCCCTCCCACGTTCTTTGCCTGCCCTAAATAGCCACACTAAAAAGAATATGCTGTGACTCAATTATATTGAATAATATAGCTGGACTCTTCCTGCTGATGGGCAACCCAAGAGCACCTTTGATGGTCTGCATGAATCTTGAAAGGAAGAGCCCTTTCAAGTTCCTCAAGGGGATTTTTCTTATAATCAGGCCACATCATCAGCATTGTGGGTGTTCAGCACAATAAGATTCCAGTGTTTTTGAAATATGCATCATTCCACGCTTCTAAGAGAGGAAATGACAAAACTGGGCCCTTTCCAACACAATTATTGTGGGTGTTTTTTTGGCAGGAGAAGGCCTTCTGTGAGAAGTTTTTGACGAGTTCCATGCATCAGTGTGTTTCCGTATTGGGCTCTTCATTGGGAGCAGGTCGTATGTTTTTTTCTTCTCTAGCGCAGGTATTAGAGGAATGCTGGATCCAAAATAAAAGATCTTTTTGGATGCACGCGCCTTGAAGCAAGGCGGCATTAACAGGAATACGCAGGTGCTACATGTGACTGTTACCTTCTAGAATAGCACTGTTCTTCCCAACTGGAAAGTCTTCATTGTCACATCCTTTGGAGAAATAACAAGTTGCTCTTTCCAGCCTGGAGGGCTACACACCAATAAACACTTATTTAAGTATATTCATCCTTTAGGAAATGAAGTCTGATCTCAAAGGATCATAGGGTTGCTGAGAAAGTAGCTCAGAAAGGCTGCTAATTCTTAGCTATAATACGCAAGGGTTTTTACTCATTTATTCCTCCGATAGTGAGGGTCATCTCTATGCTCGGTGCATGGTGGGGCTAGAAATACCTGCTTCCTTGTCTCCAGAGTTTATAGCTGGGTGGGAAAGGCCAACAAACAAATCCAAATAAACTACCTACCAAGCAGAAGTGCAGGGTCTATGAGAGTAGTTAATAGGGGATGTAGCCAAATTGAGAAAGGTTATGATTCTAGAAGGAAGAGAAGGAGTTAACTGGTGAAAGAGGGAGAAGTATAGCCCGAGGCAAGGGAGGGAGTGTGGTCCAACCTGGAAGAGGAAGAGGCCACCAGGAAGGGCCAGGCAGCTTTGTTCCGAATTTTAGCCTATAGAGTAACAAGGGTCCTTTGAAGAGTAACAGCTCCTGGTGAGCTGTGTGTGCTGCAGGCCAGGGTGGAGGGGAGGTGATGTGAGGTAGGTTTGAGCAGCAGGAACATGAACTTGCGCAGGAGGGACAGTT